CCCCCCCTACCAAATAGTGCTGCTTCATTTCTTCCCAAAAATTTCCGCCCTCTAACACATCATTTATTTAACAAAATTTATCACAAAAATAGAAAAAGATTCAAGAAACTTAATACACCTTCCTATTTGGGAGAGAGAAAGAAGATCTGAAATTACCTAAATCTTATGGAACAACTTGTCAACTTTATTATTAGACCCCCAAGGTATGATCTTGATAAACCCCTTTTCCAATTTTGGTCTTTTTTTTTTTGCTAATTTTAATTGCTATAGTATGCAGATATGTTTGCTTTTGAGTTTATTTTTGTAAAGTTTGAATCTTTATCCCAAATTCTGATGTGGGTTAGTTCTAATTTGATGTGGGGGTTTTCTATTTAGTGTAGTATCTTACTTTGCTAATTGAAATTGCAAGAAGTATGCAAAATATGTTTGCTTTTGTGCTTATGTTTGTATAGTTTTTATCTTTTTCCCAAATTATGACGTGGGTTAGTTTTAATTTGATGTGGGGTTATCTGGAGAATTTGCGGATGTGGGGGTCTACTTTTTATGCTTCTCTTTATTGTGCACTTGTCTGGTTTAGGTTTCTTGATCTTAGGAGTTATTGTTTTGTACTTCATGTGCAGAAAAGTTAGGTGTAAATCATAATCACTCAAGTACTGAATTTCTTTTAAATTTTGAAATTGACAGGTCATTTGTATGTGTTTATTTAGGGCCTGATATACTTTTGAGACTTGAATTATAGGGTTTTTAATTCAAACAAATGAAAATTCTGCAAGTGATTTTGCAAAATTTGTGAAATGTATCGCCTTTCCTCTTTATTTGATATTGAACAGTGCATCTTTTGATTGGATCCACCATTGAGACTAATGACTGTGTGTTTAAGGCGTGTTTCTATAATTTGGAATTTGGAAGTGTCTCTGAGTATTGCTTTTTCTGATTGAAGAAACTAAAAAAGCTACTTTATCGTGCTACTTTTGGAATGCAAACATGTTGCATAGGTGATGAGGACTTCATATTTAGTACATATCCATGGCATATAGTGGGAATCCTCTGTTCAGTTTATGAAATTTCTGTTGAAATTTTTTGTACCTTATTTTCTTTCTAATTTCTGTAGTTAATTCTGAACCTAAGAATATAAAGGAGGAGATATTTCTTAGACTTAGGGTTCTGACTCATCCATTGTGGTACACGAAAGAACTAACTCTGGAAAGGGTATTTCCAGAAATTACCTGGAGGAATTTTTACTCTTTTACACTGGGATTTGGAAAGGGGCTTGAAGCAGCGAAATGTCTGTTTCTAAGCAAGATACTTGAGGTTACTACCATCCGTTACTGCCAAGATAATTGAGTTCCTTATAACATGCCTTGACAACTGACCTATACCCATTTTCTTCTTCTAATTATTGTGCTATATAATAGATGCTAATCTTAAAATAACGACTCTACTTCCTGTGGATTTCAGGGCTGAGTATGATCCTAAAAATGATCTACTAGATGAAGAATTCATGCTTAAAGGGAAATGGTACCAAAGGAGGGATCTGGAGGTGAGTGCGTTGGTAATTAATATCTTGCTATTTTCAGTTATTTTTCTCTGAAATTTAGGTCAAGTCAATGTTTTATTTACTTATTAAATAAACTATTTCCAATTAATTTATTTACTAGTTCATATATTTTCTGTTTATGTTTCCCAGAGCTGGTATTAGTTATCAAAGAAATATTTTATTTACTCATTGAATAGACTATGTATTTCTTTACCCGTGTTTACATGTATTCTTCATTTGGCTCTGTGTTGTTAATAACCAAGTAATGAGTTGGAGAACTAATATAAGACAGTTGACGTTGGAAAACTAGAAAGTGACAATGAAGTACATTTACTACTATGAAATAGGTTGAAAGTTGATCATGTAGAGACAGATCTAATATTATATGGGAGCAAAACAAAGAATCCTAGTTATCTGATCAATTTTCAGACTTATGTATTCAAATTTAAAGTGATGTTCATAAAACAATGAATATAAGCAAAACTTAATAGCTGGAACTTTTTACTTTGTTAATTTTGATGGAAAGAAAAAATCTGAATACTATTTTGTAACATCAATGTCCACGGGAACTGTGTTAGATCCCTTTGCTCTTCATAATTAGGTTGTAGAACCTGACAGATAAAGAGGCATGTTATTCTCTAGAATGATGTGTTGAGAAGCAACACGACAATTGCTATAAGTAATGTCCATAGAGGAACATGCTTTATGGAGTAAAGTCATAGCAGAGAAATACTGTGAGGAGCTGGGGAATGGAGAAGCGATCGCATCATGATGCCACATGGAACTGCCTTACGTGAAGAGTTGGGAGACTTCTGTTAAAACATGTAAATTGAAGTGGGCGGGGCAAGAATTAACTTTCGGAAGCAAAGATTATCTGATAACTCCCTTTATGTGAGGCTTTCCCGATAATCATCAACATATCATGCCAACAAGGAGAAAGCACACCACGAGATCCTTATTAAAATATTACAAAAATCATTTCAGGAAAAATTTCAATCCTTCACTTATGGCTATAGGAAATTAATAGAGGTTGATCTTCTCTTTTTGTTTGTGGTCTTTTTATTTGCTTGTTATAAAGGGGAGCCTTGGCGCAACCGCGCATAGTGGGAGCTTAGTGCATTAGGCTGCCCTTTTATTTGTTTGTTTATATGGACTCCGAATAATTGTGTGGTTACCTAATATAAAAGCTATAGCTTTTACTATTTTTGTTATTGGACCAAGCTTGTGAAATGGATTGCGGTGAGACTTGAACTTACAACCTCTGTATGCGCTCTGATACCATGATGGATTGTGTGACTACCTCATCTGAGTGTTTAAGTTGTTATAGACAGTACTTTTTTTAAAGACTTATTTACAAACTCTTTAGGTCATTGCTAGTGTTATTGAACAGTTCACCTATTGTCTGTATTTCGAACTATTTAGTCATTTTTTCTTTAATGGCCTTACTGATTTGCAGGTTAAAAATAGTAGGGATGATGTTCTTAAATGTACCCATTATATGCCTCTTATTCGTCCAGAAGGAAAGCCACTGCCTTGTGTGATTTACTGTCATGGAAACAGGTTAGTGAAGGTTAAGTAGTACTCTTCCTGTTTTTACGCTAGAAAATTACTGTACTTTTCCTTTGATGCAGCGATTATATGGAGAAGAACTTTTTTATTTATTTATATTTTGACTTCATTTAATAGTTTTCTTTGCTAAGAAGTTGTTTTGGATGATCCTTTGGCAGCGGATGTAGAGCAGATGCCAGTGAAGCTGCTATTATATTATTGCCACTAAACATAACTGTTTTCACCCTTGACTTTTCTGGATCTGGACTTTCTGGAGGCGAGCACGTTACATTGGGTTGGAATGAAGTGAGTAGCTGATTATTCTATTTGAGATTCAAATGAAAGCTTAGACCTGTTGATAAGTTGTTGGATAAATTCTGCTGTGCCTATTCTATCTTAAAATACTTTAGAGAAGGTGATTAGTTGTCAAGTCTAAAGCATTATTTGAGATTTGCTGTGCAGGGTCTTGTAAAAAATAGAGACAAAATTGTTTCCTCATCTGCGACTGATAAGCCTGAAATATAATGCCTTAGTTTTTGGTACCACCGCTGACATTGTTTATCTATTTCTTCTCCTTGTTTATAAGTCAGTGCTGTTTACAGTTTTCTTTATGCAATGTTTACAAATATGGACAGCATAAATAGATAATGCAAGTGATAAGAATTTATATCTCAGAATATGAGGCTTAGTACCTCGTTAGAAAATATGAGGCTTGATTAGCTGGTTAAAAACATGTTCTGATTTATTTTCTACTTTTGTCTTCCTTTTTCTTTTTGTGCTTGTGGCGTGTTAGTGAATTGAAGTTTGTTGACCTTCTCTTTCTAAATTATTCATCTTTTAGCCATATTATAATGAATGTTAATGTATTTGTTCTAATTATATTTGGATGGACTTTTGGCGCCTGTCTTGCCAGAGGCGGATCTAGGATTTCTAGTACATGAGTGCACTACTAAAAAAAAGGAGGAAAAAATGTATCAAGTGGGAATTGATCCCTATTCCTCTTGGTAAATAACTCAACTTTCAACCAAGTGCACCATTCAACTTTCTTGGAGCATAGGTGCCAACAATTAATATTATACCAATTTTTAAAAATATGTATATACAATTTTTAATTTTGCGGAAAGATCAAGGGTTGCGTGCCCATAATTTTGCCTATAAATCCGCTCGTGTCTAGCTGAAGCCATGTTGTTATGGTGGATGCTATTTCAAATAATGCTGCATCTTGTATTTTGTGCTGGAACGTGTTTATTGGCTGCTTACCTGATGGATGGTGGTNGATATGTTAATCTGAGCCATGATCTATGTGTTAGAATCTTCTGCTTTTGCTGGGATGTCTTGTTGAGTTACAACTTGTTACCAACAACTGCCCGCTGCTTTTGCCTTCTATTGTTAATGAATTTTGACATTTTTTGGTCTGTTTCTCAGAAGGATGATCTCAGAGCTGTGGTTGAATATCTGAGGACAGATGGCAATGTTTCTTTGATTGGCTTGTGGGGTCGTTCAATGGGTGCAGTTACTAGGTACTCTAATTTCTTTGCTTTTTTTGTTGATCCTGCTGCATCTATATACACTGTTTTGCATACAGATTCTTGGCATAAGGAGGGTTATCTAGCAAGTGGAATAACCTGCTGGTGATCTGTATTGTTGAAGAACCAGGGAAATAAAAGGATTGGAGCCGCTTTCCTCAGTTTTAATTCTGTGAAACTTGCCTTCATTGTTTTTCTTATATAAGAAACACTGGTGGAGTTTTTTTTATGTTGGAGTAAAAGTACTGGCTGTTGCCTATCAGATGGCCCAAAAAGAAAGTGCAACAAATTTTATAGATGTTGAAGGCATGCTGAATCCACAAAAAGATAGAACATTGTTTAGTTGTAGTTCTTTGACATCCATAGCAGGCTAATTTGGTATATTATCATTTTGATGTAAGCCTATAGCAATCTTAACTTGGATCTAGCTTAAAAGATTTTCACTGTGTACTAGTAAGAATATTTAAATTCAAAATATCTTGTGCTATGATGTTGTGAGGCTTTAGGGAGCCAAGACTGTGTGTACAGCTCTTAGGCATACACAAGCTTCGCCATAGGCACAACACAATGAGGCAAGTTGATGGATGGGACAAGAGAAATGCCAAATTTTCCAAAACATATTAACTCCTGTGTTTTAGGATCACAGCATTTTTTTTTGTGATAAGAGTAGAAGATCATTTATCTTAATACCATTTAGCACGTTCTACACATACTTAAATTTAGTGTTTTAGGATCATAAATTTGTATGGCTAAACCATTCACTTCGTTCATGTCCCCTTAAGCACAAGAAAGGTTTGTTTGGCCAAAAAGTAGTAGTCATCAAGCGTAACAGATGAATAGTCAAGTTTCACATCAAGTTTCACTTAGCAGATCAAAATTGGTCTTGATCTGCTAAGTTTCACATTAGATGAGAAATATTATTTTTTATTAGGTATATCAAGAGAAGATGAGATATTTTATGCGCAAGATTAAGCCTTCAGTCTCAAAGAGTTTCTTATTTGTTACGAGAAAGGTTTTCCTTTTCTGGCTAGTTAATTATTTGTTACGAGAAAGGGTTTCCTTTTGTAGCGAGCTAACATATCGATTAACTTCCGGTAATCAGCATGACTTGAGAGATTGCATGCTTATGCAATCTCTCTACCTTTTTATTTTTATTTTTGCTGTATATGGTCAGGTATATACCTAAAACATTGTGCGTCGTCACTGGTAGCCGTATTAAAGTGACTGACTTATACATCGACTTTGCAGCCTCATGTACGGTGCTAAGGATCCATCCATTGCTGGAATGGTTTTAGACAGCCCCTTCTCTGATTTGGTTGATTTGATGATGGAACTTGTAGACACTTACAAAATCCGGCTGCCCAAGTTCACTGTAAAGTTTTAGAGTTCAAAGTTTTTTATCTGGTGCATTTTGAAATATACTTTCCGTGTTCTTTTCTTGGGTTATTCTCATATTTTCTCTTTGCAACTGAAGGAGTGGCCTTCTTTTGTTCTGTCTTCTTCCTAAGTCATTGCTCTGTGTAAGCTTCTTCCTTTCCTGTTATTTTAGGTAAAGTTTGCAATCCAATATATGCGCAGAGCGGTCTTAAAAAAGGCAAAGTTTGACATAACCGAGTTGAACACAATTAAGGTAATTCCTGTGGGAAGGTGTTTTACGTATGACTCTTGATAATATGACCTTTTTTATGTTTGACAACAATCAGCAATTGAGAAATAGAACAGTATGTAAGTGAAGATATTGTAGGAAGTTTTCCTATTAGTATCAAGCTTTTTGGGTGGAACGTTTTTGGAAGTGCTAGTTCCATTTATTTTTTTAAACAATTTTATTGACCATCTTTGATCTTTTCGTTTGCTAAATTTTATGTAGGTGGCAAAGTCATGCTTCGTCCCTGTTTTACTGGGTCATGCCGTTGATGATGATTTTATACAGCCCCATCACTCTGATCGTGTATTTGAGGCGTACATGGTAACTGTCTAATTTACCCCCTCCCCCTTTCCGGAAAAAAGGAGAAAAAGGAAAGAATTGGATAGTCTTTTTTTCTTTTGTTCTTAAGTTTACAGACTTTATGGGTGTAAAGGCATGTCAAATGTTTCTTTTTCTTAGGTGTAAAGGCATGTCAAATGTTTCTTTTTCTTCTTCAAGTGGATCTCTGCTAAGTTGCTCCGACACGGCAGTTTAGGTGCCTCACCTGTGTCGACATGACACTAGTATGGGTGTGGGTATGGGATTCGTATCGGATCTGGTCAAACAATTTTGGGTACTTTGACCACGACGGAAGAAAAAATTCGAGACGAGATACAATTTGATTACCAAAATCAGAGCCAAAACTAGGGTAAATTTGAAGACAATTGCATACCTTATCTAGGAAATCAATCCTTTATTTATCTACAACTTGAGAATAAAAAAGAAATCCACACTTTACATGCTATACGTAAGTGTTCCACAAAATTTCTTATAATTTAGAGATATTTTGATATTTTTATTTTTTTGAATTATTTTTAGCCGGATCCCTGCACCCATATCCGTGCTAAGATCTATATCCCGAATCTTAGAATTTACATTTCTAAGGATCCGACCTCTAGATCTGCACCCGTGTTGACACCCGCACCCGTGTCCAAGCACCTTAGGATCTCTGGGTTTAGAACGCGAGTTCTCTAGTGCTATGCTCCTTTATGTGCTATGTAGCAGTTAACTTTGTGTTTTTATAACACTTTTCATTCTTGTAACTGGTATTTATTGCTGTTTGTCCAGAAATGACATATGCCAATATACCCCATTTTGTTTCTTATTGTTTAGTGAACTTAATGTTGGCAGGGGGACAAGAATATTATAAAATTTGAGGGTGATCACAACTCTCCACGCCCACAGTTTTATTTTGATTCTATAAGTATCTTCTTCAACAATGTTTTGCAACCACCAGAGGATGAAGCAGGGGGTGCATTCTTTGACATGCCACAAGATTATTTTGGCAAGGTATAGTTCTATGAATCCATGTCATTACTGGTTCAAGTGCGTGGAAACTGCTGAGTTAGGCTAATAACTCATTGGATTCGAACTCTAACTATTTCCAGGGCAGTTGGAGTACAGTCCATGAAGTTGACTTTATGGATGATGTCCATGATGGTATTAGTCTTTTCTTCTTTTTTATTTCCAGCAGCTGTTTCATTTCCTCCAAATTTTTATCTTAGAGAAGGGGAGAACGGGTTTTATCTTGATTCTTCATGCTATACAAATATCGACTGTTATTTATGTTTAATTTGCTATCAGTTGCAGCTGCACCAACTAGTAGAACTGAAGATGTAATAAAGCAGGTTCGCTCCAAAAGACCCATGAGTCGGACAGAGGTAACAGAAAAACCTTCAAGTTGTTGCTTTGATAATTGGTAAAATAGATGGCATGAGCTCAATTCTATTGCAGAAAAGTTTGGGGGTTTTAAGAGGAGAAGTGATGGAAAAGAAATTTATACACGGACATGTATGCTTGGATAACTTGTCAGAGTTGAAAAGAGCAGGTGGAAATGTGTAGTTACTGACTGTTGAGGATATAATATTAATAGTGAGATTTTTTTAGTAACTTAACATTTTAGAAAATATGGTCTCACAATTCAACATGGTATAAGGTCTTGGATTCAAGTATCACCTCCACCAAGTATTTAAAAGAATCTTGACGTGCTTGATCGATGCGAAATAATCAGGCCAACACGTGAGGGGACGTATTGAAGATATAAATATATAAAAGTGTGCTCTCTCTAGCAGCTTAAACTTTTAGATGAGATTTTCACACAATTCAACAATTACGACATACATGCTTGTAACCAAATGCATGGAAGTTGAAATCTGCAATTTCCCTTTTCTTTCTTTGAAATTATAGAATTGGCTGATTCAAAATATATTCTGATGTGACCTATATTTTACATAGCATAGTCAAAAGAACTTTTGCATTCATAGGATGGTTTTTCTCTATACACCCATTTCTATGGAACTTCTTTACCCGAGTTGGTTTATAGAACTGTGCTTTCCTTTCTGTGCCATACGGCAATGCACGACCTGACCCAACTATTTGCTTAACTTGTGTCCACTCCATTGTGCATTAATTTATTTATTATTTTCTGTTTGCATAAGGAGACACTTGCTTTTCTTTGCCACTACTTCCTCATGCTCTATTGCAGACAATCTCATGTTCCCTTTCTGCTCTCGCCTCTGGATCTGCAATCGTTACACAGCTACTCCTTCTCCAGATCTTTTGCTTTTCTTTGCCAATATTTCCGTTTCTATGCCATTCTTTTGGTGAAAAAAGAAAGCTTTCCTATTATTCCCCTTTCCGTCACTAGTTATATTCAATTCAGATTGCCTATTCGCACCGCAATCTTGACCTCTGATCAAGCTATGTACATGGGTAGATAGGCAGTTAGGGGAGCTTTTGGTTGGGGGTGGAGAGGGTCGGTTGGCCTGCCATTTCATTCGATCTCCTGCCACTTGGTGCCTCTGTTAGTTCTAGTGCTAACGAGTATTGGTCTCGTCACATAGAAGTTGGTGCAAAGGAAGAACAAGGATTTCATCCAAGGTGCCTCTTTTGGGTTGAAATTCAAGCTTCTCCTTTTNAACCCCTCCGTTGAGAAAATTCCATTCAAGGTTGAATGATATTTTATTTTGTCTTGGAAGAAGAAGTTTAGGGGGAGATCCGTACTGCTGAGGATCTTTGTGATGGAAAAGGAGTGATCAAAGGCAAGAAGCTACTTTAAAGGGGACAGTTACTGGTGAGTGGGTGACAGAAAGAGAAGGGAAGGGAAGGGGTAAGTGTCTACAGGGGTGATTCCAGGATGGTGGATGGGGAAAGGGGGATGAGATCAAAACAGAGAAATGCTGGGATAAAATAATTTTTTTTGGCTCTTTATACATTTTCAACCATGAACTGCGCTAACCCTAGTTAATGCATCTGGTTGGATTCGAGTGGTTTAGGCTTCTATGTGTGTCTACGTGGCGAGAAGCATAGATATGAGAGTATAGATCTGTCATGAGAAACTTTTATAGTAAATCTCTATTGCATATCTACTGTCTGCTAAGTTAATCAAATCATCTCTGTTGCATGCCTACAAAAAACCGTGCTTACGCATGAAAAAGTCTATCCTATGTTTTCTGTCTCATTCTTGTTTATTTCAATTTGTTCAGGTCCCGTCTGACATATCTGCGCAGGATAGCCAGACTGAAGACCAGGTAATTCCACAAATTTCGGAATTATTTATGGAGGTTTTAACAAGGAAAACTTTCATAAAATGCTCTTATTCCTTGAATGCTCTTCCATAAAATCAATCACCTGAAATATCCACTTTAACTGGAAGGAATTAGTCTGCTTCAAGAATTTATGGATATGCTTTCATGTTTCTTTGGCGATTTGGCCTTCCAATAGAGTTTATGACAAAAGATGCCTGTATTAATTTTTCGATTTTGAAATGTTAGCATGGCTGGGCAAAAGTAATTTCTGCTGCTTCAACTAATTCATAGTTTCATACATATTTTTCTCCAGGAAGAAGGTACTGGAACCGACTCTGCCCCATCATCTTCAAAAATGATCAGCTTTGATCTTTCCAATGGTGACCCGTTGGGTCCCAATGTTCCTGCATCAATAGATGATGATGACTATGTGGAATACTCACTTGATAGTTTGGCAGATTTTCCTAGTAATGTGGAGGAAGAAGAAAGGGTAAGTACGTTGAGGTTTGCAGGATTTCATCGCTTAATTGTAGGCTTCAGTATTCATTCTGTTTATTCACTGTTTTGACCTTTTGTCTGTTGACAAAATATCAGATGTTAATGAAAGCAGTACTCGAGTCTTTAAAAGACTTGGAGGTAAAACCTCCTCCAGCCGAGCAAGCATCCTCAAAAGTTGTCGAAGAACTTCCTCAACCTTTGCAGGACAGTAAAGAGGAGTCAGCTTCTACAAAACAATGTACTCCCTCAAAAGAAATTAGTGCTAGTCCCATTGTTTCTAATGGACATGATTCAGACGCCAAAGTCCAAGTTCAAGATACTGTTAAAGTATCAGTAACACCAGCTAACAGTACTTTATCGGCGAAAGAAGTGAAAAGCAACGGGACTTCTTCTCATCGTGACATGTCTGTCAGCAGTCAAAGTTCGTCCAGCGTTGACATGGTTGATGGTACTAAAGCCACTGTGACCGTTGTGAAGAACCCAACAAGTAATATCATGGATGGTTTATTGCGTCGTTGGGATCTCAACTTTTTCAAGAACAGATAATGGTTAGACGATTGACTTTTTACAAAGACGTGTAGCCGAAAAAGTTATAGCGGTTAAAGAAATTTGCTGTTCGCTGGATGTACATTTTTGGGGGGAGTAAATATTTGTACTTTCTGTCAGGGGTGGTAAGTTGTGGCAGGTGGTTGTGGGAAATGGAGGGGGTGGGTTCGGTTGTCGCTGATTTACATAGGTCTTCCTTGATTGGTACAAGTGATTCAGCTTGTATATGTATTCCCAATGTGAAGAGATTAGGCTCATAGGCCCATTGTTTGTTGTAAATTATGGATTACCAAAATGTGTTATGTAGATGTACAGGTGATGACAATTTTTTCATGACAATCTTGCAATTGTTAGCACTCTCAAATTTCTCTATTTTATTCAGTTTTATAGTGTTTGTGTATTGTATACAAATAGAACACATCTCATTCTTTCAACATGGAAACATGCTTTTACTTTTTAAAACGCTGAAATTCTGTCAGTGTCAATGCTATTTATTTGAAGTACTCTTTTATAGCTTGCCGGATTTACTCTTTACTTTTCCTAGAGGATATACATAGATTATACACTGATCGTACACGGTTATACACATCGCACATGATATATATTATACATCCGACAACTAATGTTAGTTTAAACGGTTGGGTGAGCGGCTATTTGTCGTTTGCCTTTTGCTTGGTCATATATTTCCTTTCATTGGATAGCCTGGTTTGGGTTTTAGTGCTGGTTTTTAATTTATAATTTGGCTTGTGTGATACAAATATCATTTTGGATTAGAGTCTGCAAACTGTAGTGGCAATACTAGTTTGCTTTCTGCTTGATCTCAGAACCTTGTTTAGTCTGTGCCTTGTTTAGCAAATTTTGGCTGGATCTTTGCCAGCTTTATATTTTGCTCTGTCAAATAAAAGCAGTATTAAAATAGACAGCAGTGGAACTTGTTGCGAATTACAATATATTACTGTAACTTATGATATGTTTCTGTAATAGCCCTCTACATAATAATATTAAATTAGAGAAAAAGAATGCTCTACTATATACTTCAATATTTACACCATTATTGCCTTTGAATGGCTAAAGTATGAACCTGAAACAATTTTTTGGTGCAATAACTGTTGAGGTTTCTATCATTCTTTTTCCCCAGCCAACAACTTCATTGCAGTATCAACCAGCGCATGAATAGTCACAGTGTGTCGATTCATTCCAACTGTTCCTGAGAAAACATTAAAGCTCTCTAGCTCTGATGTGGTTTCTATAATGTACTCCAGTTCCCTTTCCAATCCCAGATTTCTGAACGCTTGAACGTTTGTTCTTTTATCTCTCATCATCCAGATCGACAATTCTATGACAAACCTCCTAATTCTTGGAACCTTAATTGATGGATGTTGATGTTTCCTAAGAATCTCAACAAGTTTTGCAGCCAATTCAGCTTCTTGAATTTTCGCTCTCTGGAACATGATGCTTGACTCTTCTGGTGTTATAAACTTGAATATATGTGCACCTACTCCCATCATTACTTCCTGTAACTTGTTTTCCTCTGTCATTATTGCTTTGAGTACCTGAAAAGACAGAATTCAATTTAACCTGCAGTATACTAGGAACTAAAAAGAATAAGTTTTCGTATAGTACTTACAGTTGGTCCTGCAACAGCAAGTTCTCTCAATTCTTCAAAGTAACCTGATCCACTGTAGACACATAAGTTTCTCAAGATTCTTGCTGCATTTACTCGAAGCAATGGAACTTCCAATGCTTCGACGAGCTTTCCAGTGACCTTGAGTTTCAATATCGTATGGCAGTTGTTCTTGCTTTCAAGTGCCAACATAGCTAGTGCTTCTCCTGCTGCTGTTCTTACTTGACCGCGGTTGTTAGGTGTGGAGTCCTTGAAAAAAATGTTGCACAACTCCTTAAGGATTCCTCCAGTTCCTCCAATTCTCTCTGTTGCATCATCTTCCAATGCAAGACTTTTCAAGATCTCTATTCCCAAGTGTTGTAGAGTAGGGTATTTCTCCCCATATCTTAGTAAGTCCCTGATGTTGCTAATAGTGAAAACTATCTCTGAAATTTCTTTCCTTAGCTCTTTACCTGTGGCGCCTGCTGTGCTTGCCAGCATCTTCACGACCTGGAGAGATCGTTTAAGTGTCAATATCTGCGTTGGCGTTGCTGATTCATCTCTTAGTAATCTCTCTCCTGCTTGTGTGAACTCTATAATTTTGGGCAGAAGACCTCTAGTATTGCCTATCTTTCCACAGTTATCGTGGTCACGAGCAAGTTTCTTTAAAATGAGCAGCCCCAAATGATTGAATGTCCAAAATCCATAATTTTCATTGTCAAAGATAATCCTCTTTTCACAGATTTCATCATTTGCTCCAGTAGGACCCCTGCTGATTTGAAGAAGTGAAGATATGGACTCCATAGCACCAGGTATACCCGCGACACGAAGAGAATTTTGCTTTTTACCAGTAAGCTTTGATATAATCTCTGCTGCTGATAGCCTTAACTCTTCTTCTTGTATGTCTTTCCAATTCAGCATCTCAACCAACCTCTCCATTACTACTATGTTTGTTCCAATCTTCTGAAGTGTGTCATCACAAAACCGTGGACTCGCAGCAAATTTTCGCAAGATTTTAGCACCAATGAGTTGCTCATCAGGTGAGTTAGAGGCTAAGAGTTCAATAGCAAATGAAACCATATCCATCTTTAGACCATCAAATATGCTCCCATTAACACTTTTCGAATAAGCATCATAAAAAAACCGTCTGACTGAAGTCATACCTGATGGTCCCAATTCACACTCTTTGTTCACCTTCTCCAACAGACTACAAAAGCTGATCTTCCATTCCCAATAGGCTTTTTCCAATAGAAAAAGCAATGCCTCCGTGAAGGCGAGGGAATAGAATATAAGTAGAGCACTTTTCCTATTCCTCTTATCGGTATCTCCTTTGGCCACTTCACCAAAGTTCCTCAATACAAGCTTCATCAATGATAGCACCAAACATGCTGTTGCAGATAGTATTTGGAGCCAATACAGCATTTTGCTAACATTTCTTGCTACGAACATCCATCTCGCGTATGGAAGCAGAGGAACCTCAGAACTAGTCCACGTTCGAGTTGGCTGCTTCTGCTTATTCCACTTTGAATTCCTTGCAATTTCTCTATTGTTAACATGCCTACTTCCCTTTGCAACATCAGAAATAGGCTTGAAAATTGTTTTTAGAGCATTGACAATGGTTCTAGTGCTGGATTTGATCGCGCGAAAGCTACTGATTCCAACATCAGCAATAGACCATGTTGCTTGGTGTTGCCACTCAAGCTCATGACTCCTACTAAAGATTCTTGTTCCTTCTATTAAAAGTATAGTAGTTATGACCCAAAAATCTGAAGTGTTCAAAGTGATAGCAAAGCCACCAAGAAGAACAACTGTTGCCCATATGAAACCAAGTGTTCCTAATCCAGTTGCTGCTTTTTCAAGCACTGCTAGCCTCAGAGCAAAAAGGGTAATCTTTTTCTCCGGTGCACGAATCGTTGGCCTTTTCGGAGAAACAGAATTAGCTGTGCTGCTGTTCTTTGTTTCCATTGGACTTTGAGGTTCAAAGATTGTTGGACCTCCACTTTCTACCACACTTAGTCTTCCATTAAGTTCATTTATCTCTAGATGAACACTTCCTTCGCTCTCTATCGATGATCTACGATCCATTTTTCTCTTTTTTTGGACCAAGAAAGATAGCTATACAATGGAAGATTGATTAGGGAAAAAACTCAAGAAAGTAGCACTTAGGCTTTTATGACATGAAGGAGTTGATTAAGGTTTGAAGGAGAGAATGTTGTGTTGATAAAAATAGTATATATATATAGAGAGAGAGGAAAATGAGCTTAGAGTACACGTTTAAGTTGTGGAAATGAGGAGGAAAGACAAACGTTAAGTTGCGTCTCTTTCCGCTATTTTTTCAAGGAAGTTAGTTTTTAAGTTTCTGCTTTGTTTGTTTGTTTCGCTGCTCTGCTTTTAAGTTTGCCAACAGCAACATGTATTCTTACTAGTTTGGATTAACGGCCTAAGCAAAATAAAATACTAACATTAGACTAATATATTGGTCAAATACTCTATATATACATGCGTAGTAAAATCTTATACTCCTACGTGCTTAGTGAATTCTTGACTTCACTAATTTCGATGAGCCGACCAAAAAAATAACCACTTGATAATTAAAGTATTTATACAATTAAGTCAATTATTATAGGTGAATCTCTTGATAAGTATTAATTTATAATCTGATAAAAATCAATATATAAGGTGAGGGTTACTATAATCAGAGTCATGGTTACAAATAATATAAGACTGGACTAGGCAAAAATAGCAGCTCTAAAGTAAAATATGAAAGCCACTTTCCCCCCTAATTTTGGATAAAGTTGTTTCTCCTTTATCTAACGAATTCTCACACATTTTTTACCTGATTTTTCCTTGTCAGAAGTTTCTTCTTGTAAAAGCAAACTTTATAAGTAGTAAGTTATTTATGACTATTCTAAACTAGCTTGAGCCCATGATGTGGGAAGTGTCATTTCTTGGGGAACAAGCTACAGTCACATAAAATNATATATATATATATATGACTTAATGTATTCTACTTGTTTTAAAGTACTTATTACGTTTAAAAAAAAATATTTCTGTGCACTAAACTTTTGCTACGCATCTACTATATAAGTTTTTATTTTGTATTTTTTTGAGAGGCTGTTTTGACTTTTGCGACTTGAACCTAGTGATTATTTTCCAAAAATAAATATTTTAAACACTATATACTCCACGAAAAGTTACGTGATAGGTTTATATATTCCACTTATAAAAGTTGAAGATTTTCCACCTTCATTTATTAGCGGTGCAGAGTTAAATTAAGTAACTTATACTTCCAAGAATTTGGCAATAACAAGTGTATATTTAGGCCATGCCGATCAAAACACGTCTAATGATTCAAAGTCAAGGAGAGATTTATCATTAATGTATGTATTTACCCAGTTTGTCATTAAATAATTAACTTGATACTTTTTTTGGTTATTTCTGTGATTGTTAGTGCAGAACTTAGACATGATAAGTAGTAATTAGCATCTGAATTGTCGTATAATAATGTGGAAAACAGGCAAATGAGCTGGTCTTGTGGCTTGCAAGATTGGACTACAACAAGTCTTCTTGTGTCAAGTTAAAGTCTTGTAGTGACGTCCTCATTCCAATTTTTCCTTTCCAATCACACAACCTCAAATCGTAAACGAATTCTATATTAAATACATGTAAAATCATTAAAAGAAAAAAAATTCAAAATTTGTTCTTTTATATATATATAGTACTAATTACATTTGCCATCAAGGGAATTGTTTAACGGTTAAGATGGCACAATTCGAACTATAGTATCACAACTTTGAATCTCAGTAACTTTTCACAATTCGAATCATAATGCCACAAGTTTGAATCTCAATGACTTAACTTTCCCTTCTTTCCTATTAACATTATGAGAAGAATTGAATGAAAAAAAGTTTTGGTTGATAATTGTTACGTAGACGTGGGGAGGTGATGCTAAAAAGACTTAGAAGACAAGTGAATTATACCAATTCATGGCTGCAGACAGTTTCCTTTTGTTGATGTCTATAACATATTGCTTGTCCTCTAATAAACAATGCCTTTTAATGTATTTCTATTTTGTTCATTAAAATTGGTTGCTTATTCAGCTTCAACATGTAATCTAATAATGAGAGTTGTAGAGGTTTAATTTTCAGATATAAGCAAGGAATATGAATATGATCTGGACATTAGCATGAAATTCAATCATTTATCAATTATGGGATCGTAGTAATGACTTTATGACATTGTTTATCCATTGGAGTCATCTCCTAATTTGAAAGTCAAAGACCTTTTAAAAAAATTGTTGTGCTCGTCACAATTCAAACTACTTATGATTGACTTACAACGTAACCTAAAAGTCTATTAAGCCAAAAGAAAAAGAAAATAGAAGTATGTGCAGTTTTTGTTAAAATTTTTAATCCTCCAAAATGACCGAAGAATAAATAAAGTCTCGTTTCCACCTAAATCATATGGGTTCTAAGGCTCCAGAGGCTGATGGATATAAATTGTGGTACTCAGGCCGCGTGAGGGATAAGAATGGGGTAGACATCTTGGTTGACATGGATCTTAGGGAGCTAGTGGTAGAAGTTAAGAGGGTGAATGACAGGTTGATGGCTATTACGCTGGTTGTGGGAAGATCTACTTTAAACGTGATTAGTGCTTATGTGCCTTAAGGGGGTTTTGACTAAGAGATTAAGAGGCGTTTCTGGGAAGACCTTCACTGGTTGATCCGTGGCATTCTGCACGCTGAGAAATTATTCATAGGAGGAGATTTCAATGGTCACAGTGGGGCGACCTCTAGGGGTTATGACGATGTGCATGGGCTTTGGTTTTGGAGTTAGGAACGGAGGTGGTACTTCGCTGTTGGACTGTGCTAAAGCCTTTGATTTGGTGATTGTTAAATCGTGCTTTCCGAAGAGGGAAGAGCACTTGGTCATCTTCAAGAATTCATTGGCCAAGACTTAAATTGATTATCTACTCCTCCGGAAGGGTGATAGGGGTCATTGCATGGATTGCAAGGTTATACTGAGCAAGAACCTCACGACTCAACATAGGTTATTGGTGATGGACTTGGAGATCGTGAGAAAGAAGAAGAAGTGGTCTGGGTATGGTCAGCCTAGGATCATGTTGGGTGCCTTGACTAATGACAAAGCCTTGGAGTTTGTGGAGGGA